AGGCTGGTGCTGTGACCACTGCCCTGTTCTGGTGCCCAATCATCCTTTAGGTTAAAAACCTTTTCCTGATATCCAACCTAAATCTCCTCTGACTCAACTTTGTGTGATTTTGAACTTGTTTCAACTCCTTATTTTGGTCCTGTCCAAATACCTGCATGCTCTTAACAAAAGGCACTTCACTATTGTCCTAAATTCTCTGCTCAGCTGTTCCAGTCTGTCTCAGCTCAATTTAGAACAGTTGCCATCAAGAAAAAGCTGACTAATGCCACAGAAAAAAACCCAAAACATCTGAGACCATCCAATTCTCACAGGTGCCAGAAAACTCAATTAAAACGTGCCTTGGTTGAAATTCATACAAGGCAGCAGTGCATCCTGAAAATCTTTAGGGTGAATGATGGGAAACAAGCAGTGGATCATCTTCACTGTAGCACCTGGGATCCAGTCCAATAGTCACACAGATGACAGACAGCATGGGGGTTTCATGCTGAGTGCAAATTACACTCTAAACTGTTGGAGTATGCATATCTGAATTAAAAAAAAAAAAAAAAAAAAAAGAGAGAGAAAAATGGCAGGAGTCAAATCATCCTCACATCTACTCTGAGATCTCTTTGAAACAGGCTTAGCCTCATATGAGAAAACTTTAAGACAAATCCTGAGTCCAAAACCAAATACCAAATACCCAGGGAAGAATAATCCAGGTCAAAGAAATCCAAACTTAGCCATCAATGCCATCATAGCTAGCACACACATAAGCAGCAGGCTGACATGAACCAGCTGATCCTGCCTGGAAAGCCAGGCCAGTCACACTTAACAGTATGTTTTAAATAATCCTGATGCTAGTTACTGGTTCTGATTTTAAGACAGAACAAGCCTTAAGAAAATACTATCTGGAAAAAGAAAAACAACAGACTGCACTTAAGAAAAATGCAGAAATTTTTGTTATACTGTAGTTTTTGAAACACCCCAAAATGCTTACACTTATGAATCAATGCAGATCAAATGCAAAGACAAATTCTGCTTAAGAGTGGTGGAAAGGCAGCACCTTTTCCTAAAAGACTTTCTTGATGCAAACTTTTTTCCTAAGGCAATAGAACACTCTCTATCAGATGTCAGAGAGCATCTCTTAAACCCATCACTCTCAAAGCCAGCTGGTGGGCAAGGGAGTTTTTGAAAATCTGGCTACAGAAAACATTAACTGTATCTATTAATGCTGACTTCAAAATTCCTTTTGGATGTAGATAACTACATAGAAGAAAATTGGAATTTTTCTCTGTTCCTATTTTAATGGTATTTTCTCTTTTGACTGCCTTAGACTTTAAGCTACCTACAGCAGGAATTCTGTTCTCCATATTTACAGTGGAAATTCAGGCCTAGCCAAACTTAGAACACTTGGCTGCTATCACAATATATTTCTATGGCTAAATCACTGTTTTCCTTTGATCTGCTGAAGGAAACACATGTGAAATTGCTATAATACCATCCTCTACATGCCTCCTTCATTTCAGTATTGAAAAGAAATGCTCTGATCACTTTATTTTCCCCACTAAGTCACATGTGCCTGTAGGACATCACTGTGGACTTGGCAGCTTAGATCCTAATAAACTTGTCTCACCTGAAAGCATTTATTTTAAGTTTTCCCATCTCTTCAGATGAAAAACCCCCCAAAAAACAGAAAGAAATTTCCAATCCTTAAATTGAAATCTTATGAGATTTTGAAGATTTTATTACCTAGAGCTGAATCAGCTTTGGGGAAAGCCCTGGGGTTTTCTAACATATTTCTGATGGCATCCAAGAGTTCAGGCAGTTTTTACCTACTCACATTCTTTCTGTTTTAACAAAACTGGAATAAACATCAAAGAAACACTGAGCAAGAATCTCAGAAATGGAGTACAAAAGCTTACCAGAACTTGCCAGGAATATTTTGGTTGGGAAATCCATCTGGAAATGGATTGAAAGGTGGATTTCTTCTCAAGAGGGTCTGATTTCTGACAAGGAAGTTTCCCTGACAGTATTTTGAAATGCCTGCCTTAGCTGAATAACAAGGAATGAGGGTACCTGCCAGGCAATTTCTACCCAGTACTCTCCTGGACACTGGAGGCTCTTTTTGTCTGAAAACCAGCTGTAATCTATCCAGATTCCAGAGCTTTCTCATGGCAGCTTAAGAGAGAGTTTCTTGTTTATGTAGATGAAAGGTTCTGGAATTAATCTCCTCCATGTTTTAATTTCCACAAAGACCTTGAAATGAAATTTCATTTCATGTCAGCAGTACCTGAGTGCAGTGGTAACTCAGTGTGATGGTTTAGGTGAGATTAAATTTTAAAATATTTTCTTTCCATAAAACAGCAGCAGCTGTGAGATTTTTTTTTTTTTAGATGTATACTGTGCCATACACAAATGTTCCTACTCTGGACTAGAAATGAGTTAGCTCATATTGATAACAAGTGTACACAGCAGACAATCTTTTGAATGATTAAAAGGAACTGATATTTTTGATTTCTATACAGACTTGCCTCTTTCAGCTAGAAAACTCTCTGCCTGAAAGCCTTAAGGAGCCCAAGGGAAGTATGTAATGTGCTTCTGTGAAGTTTACCTGCAGCTGCACAAATATTTCTCCAGCTCTTCCTGCACCTGGGAGGGAAACTTGATCTGCTCATCAATAGCCATGGAGGGGTGGGAAATCATGGACCCGTACACAAACCAGGCTTTCCAACACTGACAACTCATTCATGAGGTCACACTGGTTAACAAATGAGTACCAACTTGGAAATGAATGTACAGATTTTTTTTTTCTTTTTAAAGGTTGTGGTTTTTTGGTTTGGTTTTGTTTTTTGTTTTTTTTTTGTTTTTTGTTTTTTTAACTTCCCACTCACCTGAATAAACCCACCATTAAGGCACGGTAGCAATTGTGACCTGGCTATACATTCTATATCAGGATATGGGATTTCCAATTATTTACAAAGTAGGACTATCCCACAATTTATACAATGTTTGCTGCATTTGTTCAGAAATTCAGTTCAGTTATTTTCAACTGATGCTGAAATGTTAAAATATAGTTTAAGAATATTTTACTACTATCCTTGAATACATCACTGTCATAAGAGACTGTTTCCACAGCCAGACAGAAACAAAGTAATTATATTGTTTGAATGATTTTTTAAAAAGCTACATTGTTTAAATTATATAGCATTAACTTTTTTTTCTAGACTTGGGCAAAAGAACATCTCTGCTAATTTGTTATTGTAAAAGGAGAGCAACCCATTAACCATGCTACTATGCTTCTATCCTGAAACCATTCTTTGTATGAATCCTAGCTGCTTATCAACTAAAACCTCAGACTTCTCTCAGAAAAGATTAAATGGAAATATCCTCAGTATTTACAGCTGAACCTCAAGTGTATTACTGATAGTTTAGTTTTTATTTGATTTTTTGGCAGCTTTTTTTTGTTTGTTTGTTTGTTTGGGATTTTTATTTGTTTGGTATGGGTTTTTTTTGTTTTTAAGAGGAAAAGAGTGCATTGTTCAGAGGAAGGGCTATGTTGGTGTTACCACAGAATTACAGATCTCTTGGGAATGCTGGGAGCTGCTCTGCACTTTGAGGTTACAGCTGCAGGTGGGTGTGCAGCCTGCTCCTCATGCTTAGGGACAGCTCAGCACCTTTAAGCAGCTCAAAGCTACCTACTAATAAAAAAAAACCCAAAAAACCAACATTCTAACCTCTCTGCCTTGTTTTGCATCCAATAGCTTTCCAGCCCCTCTTCCCACAAGACTGGGAGCAGTACAGTGCTGGTGTCACCCCCTCAGCAAACAGGAGGGACCTGCTGTCCCTCCATCTCCCTGCCAGTCAAGCAGAACTGCATCTTCACTGGGCCACCAAGCAGAGCTCAGCTTTCAGAGAAAGTTGACAGAGCTGTGAAAACAGGACAGGCAGGACCCAGCTTTGACAAACATGACAGGAATTACTCAAAAGTCAGCAAAAAAAATAATTGCTTCCATGGCTACACGTCTGTGAAAGCTGAGTTTTCTTCCCACCAACTGCCAGTGGCTGCTGATGCCAGATTTTCGTGGTGCCTTTCTGCTATTTTCTAGCTGAAAATAAGATGCTTTTTGTTTCTGAAAGTGAAGATATGTTATGTTGCCTCATTCTATTCTGATGGGTAAAACACACTTACATTTCCAAGCCAACGCAGGCAGGTTTAGCCTGTGATAAACAGGAGGCCAAGTAGAGACCTCCTCTTTTGTTTTCATTTTCTAATATTGCTTTCACCACCTTGGAAGGGGTAACAATAATATCACCCAAGACAAGAAGAACAAGATGGGAGGGAAATGTAGTTTAATTGACGACACAGACCTCATGCAAGTAAAGGGAAGTTCATTTTTAAATCAAGAGAATCTGATTTCAGGCCAATTTGGAAACCACAGCAGATAAACGGTTGCCTTAAACTGGCAAGTCTTCATTTTATTTTAAAGAAAAAAAAAATGTTGTATTGACTCAACACTGAGCCTATACAGCATTGAGATGAATTCAAAACCATGATGCATTAGCAAGCAAAAGATTATGATGTCACCACAAATGTTATGAAATCAATATTTCCAAAACATAAAAGCAGAAAAACAGATTTACAGGAATGAGATGGGCCAAGTTAGGAATTTGTTCTTTTATTTCTTATTTTTCCTTTGAAGAATAGTAAATAAAGCTGTCCAATTTGCCATCATAATGCTTATTTTCTACGTTGCTTATTGACATGACATAAATAGCATATAGAATGGAATAATTACAGGTTTTAGAGTAACTTAATTGACTGAAATAATTCTGTGCATCTGTTTTTCATTTTCAATTTTGTGCATATCAGTAGTGTGCTATTTTCGTTTAGCCATACCTCTGGGATTCAACTTTCTGCTTCTATCTTTACAGTCCTGGTATAGTCATTTTGTGGTAAAAGGGATGGGGTGGAGGAGAGGAACAAATAATAGGTGAAGCTGCAGCAAATGGCACAAGGATACAGTCCCTTCCTGGAAAGAGGATTTTGTGGCGAACCATTTCTCCCATAATGCATCCCACAGACCATATATCCACTAGAACAGCAGAGACAGGGAAGTGAAGAAGGAGGGAAAAAAAGCAAAGTTAACTACGACATTTCACTCCTAAAGGAGGGGAAAAAGAGCAGGTTGATCAGAACAGTACAGTTTGTTTTGTGGTTTTGTTGGGTTTCTTTTTCATGTCTCACCAAAAGCTAAAATAAGTAACTAAATAAAAAACACAAAAGCTGTGTCAGTCAGCTCAACAGCAGTTAGTAACAACAGTGGGAAAAGTTTAAAATCAACATTCAACATTTTGGGTAAAGGTCCAGAGTTGGCAAGTAAAGATCAAGTAACAACTGCACAGACCCATGGTATACACTGAATTTATGGTTAAAAAACAAATCCTTTTTTTTTTTTTTTTTTTTTTTTTTTAGGAAAAAAACCAAAACAACCGTATAATGATAATCTACTACTTGCAGAATTTCTAGGCTTTGTTCTCCAGCACTGAGGCTTTCTGCAGCAGCTGACAAAAGGTTCCAAATGAAACTGCTCACACAAGTAAAAGCCATATGGACAAATACCCCCCTTGAAGGTTATTTAAAATTCCTCTTTCAGGATCTATACCTATGTCCAATCTATAGGTACCTATCTAGGTGTATCTGTACCTCCATACCCAGAGAGCATGACCTGAGTGGACTCTGTTTTGGACTGTGTAGGTACCCAAAATAGATGCTATAATAAAAGCTCCAAAGTACAAATAGCAACAAGACTAAAATCATTTCCTATTCCCAAACCTGCTTTCAGCTTTTAGGTGAAATATGCACAGTTACCTTATCTGCTTGACTTGGATAGGTTTTTTTTTGCCCTTTAAGCCTTTAAAGAAAAAATGCTGGATAGATAGAGACACAGTACTCAGAAAAAAACCAAACAAACCCATCTTCCATGTGAAGAGGAAAAAAAAACTGCTTTGAAATTTTTTAAAAGGCTATGTTGTTTATGAGCCTGAAATCCTTATTTTCTGGTAATATTTGACCTACACAACCAGTTTTCTCCTCTTTTTCTTCCCCTTTCTTAACCTTCAAAAGCAATCCAAAACAAACCAAAGAAACAAACAAACAACTCATTTCTTGGTAAAACAAAACAAAACAAAAAAAAGGTGAAATGTTCCATTTGGGAAAAGGAGGGTACAGGTATCAGGGGCATGGGACAGCAAAAGCATGCCTGAGGCAGTGGCAGAGTTTTCTTCCTAGTGTCAGTTTTGGGACCTTCCATAGAAGTGCAGCAAACTGGTGATAATTATGCATCTTTAGCCAACCAAGTGCAGAAAGAAAATGAAAGCAGTGAACAGTCCTTATAGAGGCAGTGTGGGTAGTCAGAGGGGGAAAAAAGTCAGGGGAGGTTCAGTAATGTGGCAGCATAGGCCAGAGCAGGGAAGCAAAGGACAGCCCTTGCTGTTGACTTCCTTGGGAGCTGACAGCTGAGCTTCATTTTCAAACATTTTGTTTTCTTCCTCTCTTTATTTTGGCCTTGTCCAAGTAAGACAAGCTCATTCATCTTCAGCCAGACTCATTGCCCAGGGAAGTCAAAGGAAGTCTCTGTGTTAAATTCAATGGGCATTTGATCAGGACCCTTGGATGTGGCAAACATTAGAACTTTCCCAGCTGTGTACTTCATCACAAAAGTGTGTCTAACTTTTTCTTGGTGCAGTTTTAATCATGTGAAAAGCAAATGCTCTCTCTTGTCCTTTCATGAACAATAATAACAATAATCCTAATCATCTACTAAATGTCTGGAGGGGAAAAAAAACCAACAAAAGAATTCATTTGACAATAGAAAAACTCTGGATATTGACTAAAGAACTATCTAAACAGTCTTAGTTCAAGCTTCTAATGTCACTTAGCAAAAATTTCAAACAAAATACTTTAAGGAATATTATTCCTTTTTCCCCAAAATTATTCTCTAAGCTAAGACTACTAGTACTACTATTACAACTAATATAACTACTTTTTAGACTTTTGTATTTAAATTGATACTTTAAACTCATAAACATTACAAATAATTCATACAGGGACTTGCTGATTTCAGAAGAGGTTGTGTGATTATGTTTTTAGTATGCTGAAGTCATGGAATCAGCTCCCAAAATCAGTTTCACTGCCCTTTACAGGATCCAGTTGGCAGTTCATAAAAGTTCTCCTGAATCTTAGCTAACCTACTCAACATAAATCAAGTAGGACACCTTTTAATAAATTCCTGGTCTTGTCACATTTGCTGTATTTGCCATCAAAAAGTCTCCTCAAACAGAGAAATGATACCTTTGACAGCAAAATCTGAGCTACAGAATATTCCCTCATTTCCTGCCGAGTCTACCTGCCTGGCACTCTGCAATTCTCAGTTTTGTTACAAAATGAGAACAACTTTAAAAGTTTTCCCTTCATCTTCTGCAAAATTTGAGTTTCTCCTTACCTGCTTCTCTATAGCAAACACCCCCACATGCTTTTCACAATATTTCCAAGGACCAAGATCTCTCTCAGAGCACTATCCTATTTACTTCTAGGGAGATTACATACAAATTATATGTTTTGTCTTTTTTTAAAATTCTACTTTTTTCTACTTTCCATTAAAAAAAAACAAACTCAAACTGCAAAATTTATACCTAGATCTTGACGAGATGAAACCTGTCAGCAAAACCTGGGACTTTGTTAAATTTATCATGAAGAAGGAATTAATTCCTGAAATTCAGATCTAGATCTGGATTTAGAGAAATTCTGGAAGGGTTAGGATTTGCTATTTCGTCTGGTCCTTCTTCTTGTTCCCTCAAACAATTCAGAGATCCAGACTCAAATTTAGGACGCGTCACTCGTTCAGCAATTCCAGTGGTTCCCATATTGTTTCACAGCCACAGAAGACAAAGATATTCTGGTCAAAACGAGCTGGCTGGAGCTGTAACCTCAAGCACGCCTAAATTTCCTGTTACTCTGCAATCCCACACTGATAAATTCACCAGCAGTGAATACATTCCCAAATACATTCGGTAGCTGCAGTTCACAACAGTGAGGAACTGCTCTAATTCCAGGTGTCACTTCCCATTCCTGTCCCTCCTTTGGGTCTCCCTGACAGTGGTGGAAGCAGAGTTTGCCCCTGGGGTGCCCTGGAGCAGTGGCACTGCAGCCCTACCGTTCTCCTTGTAGCCCATTCCCAGGATGACCTCCGGGGCTCGGTAGTAACGTGTCACCACGTACGGGGTCATCATGAAGCTAGTGCCTGCAGTCCTGGCCAGCCCAAAATCCAGGATCTTCAACGTGCAGTCAGATTTTACTACAATGTTACTTGGTTTTAAATCCTGCAAAACACAGTGGAAAAAAACAAACATGTGACTGTCCTTTATAAAGCCAGGCACAGATAGGATAGGGACAGATACTTTAGGTCACCCTTCAAATACTCTTTCCCTCTTCTGACACAATTATTATCAGAAATACCTGTAAATATACAGCAAATCCTTGCTTTTTTTTCTTTAGCAAACTGTCCTGGAAGTTGTTCTATCCAGACTTTACCTGGATAACAGGAGCCTACTGGTGTTAAATTAATTGCATTTAGCAGATCAAGAAACTTGGATTAGTATCCAAGTGCTGTTTTGATTAGATTATTTTCTCTTAATGCTGTGAACCTGAAGAGGCATTCCAACTGCACATGTGGAGATGTCTTAATGCTTCATTTATAATAATTCAGCTCATCTTTTGCTGGATGACTATCTGGAAGCCAAATCTATGACCCTCTGCTAAACCCAACATGCCATGAAAGGAGAACATTGTAGAACAACATCCACTTTTTAACCCATTTTACCAGCCTTTCTTTTCTTTAGGGAAACATTTTTAAAATTTTTTAGGTTTTTTTTTTTTTTTTTTTAATGTGGAACTCCCAAATTAGTAAAAGCACTTTTCAATAAAGAAGTTAAGTTAGGGTATTTTCAATCCATTGAGAATTCCTGTTCACAGTGACATGACTGATCCCCCTGCTATCAACTATCACACATCCACAGCCAGGTACTACATCCTGACCAAGCACAGCACTGATATGAGGATGCATTTAATATAGGCTCAGCAGTCTTTCCATTTGTTTCAGCACATGCAAATGATGGCAAATGCCAATTCCATATTCCCTGACCTCTGACTGTGGTTGTTAGGTTTATATTCTTTGTACTGGGAGACAGGGCTTTGGTCCACAGTACGTAAGAGAGTCAAGTAGCATTTAAAGTCTTCATGATCATTTCATATGCTGCCTTAAGTTTTGAGCCAAAGGCCCCTTACCCTGTGAATAATCCCTGCAGAGTGAAGATGCTTGATTCCACAGAGCATTTGGTACAGAAGGTAAGACATTCGTTCATGGTCCAGCTCCATCTGAATGACCTGGCACAGGTTGGCATCCATTAACTCCATTACCAGGTAGCTGAATGGAAAAGCAAAGCCACAGGATTACTTTTTTGTGTTGAAGACAAATCACAGCATCATCTCAAGTAAGTAACAAAGCTTTTTCTTGCTTCAAAATTCACTTTATTTCTGATGACTGGGAGTAACAAAGTTGGAGACTGGGCCCACTAACCACAGCACCATGGTGGTGTTTGTATCTCACTGCAGAGAAACCACTCTTTTAGCATATCAGGAAAACTGGTGGATTATTTGCCCTTTCTTGGTGCATTCCCCATGACAGAGACTATACCCTACATGGGCAATCAGGCAGCACCACACAGAAATGCACAAAACCCAAAAGACCCACAAGCACCAAATGATGCAACTGCTCAGCCCTTGGCCACTGCCAAAATGGCTACCACAGTACAGATAGGAATCTGAGAGAAACAGAGGTGTCTGAGAGGGTAGCATATGCAACCCCATGCAAAATGCCCCCAAAAATCCTCCTAAGATTGCATGATTTCACGAAATCCTCATTAAAATTAATTGGTTACTGCTGGTATCAGACTACAGAATAGGAGCACATTTCCATGCAATGTATACAGAATATGGGAAAGACAGGAAGATAAAAGGAGAGCAACAACATAAAACAGAGAATACTTAAAATTTCATTCACAGCAGGTTTGTACTAGGCACAGTGGTTGTCCAGCAGGGCAAGGTTCCAGCAGAGATGCTGATTGTCTTCTACACCTACCCCTAGTTCCCCAGGCAAATAACATTACACAGACAAAGGCCATATCACAAGAAATATGAAACCCAATGTTTTTCACCTGAAAGTGTCAAAAGACCTCTCAATATGAGAATTCAGAATATTTTTCTACCCACTAGACTCACAATATCTTCTTTAGAGGGGGCTATAACCTTTGTATTTTTCTGAGTTATTGCAATCAAGGTACACCATAATGCCCCACACATCCCTAAAGCTTTAGCTTAATTACTGCCCCTGTTACTTACACATCCTGGAACTCCTCCAGAGATTTCTGTGGTGTGAAGACATTTAATAAACTGATAATCTGGAAAGCAAAGTAAGACAAAAGGATAAAGAAAAGGGATATACATAATCAGTTGAACCTGTTTTGAAGTGTGTTAAAGGACAAACTGTTTTTTCACTGCTCTATTTATATTAACACTTCTCACTTTATAGATCAGTAAAAAATTGGCAACATTCAAAATAAAATATCGCAGATCTCTCAGATTTCTTCTAGGTTCATTTGAAATCATCTGAAAGAAGGATAACCAGGGACAAAACAAGGGTGAGACACTCAATTTTGGAGGTACAGGTTCAAAGACCAACTTCAGCTCAATCTAGCATAGCAGCCTTTGTGCTACAGCCAGAATTTTCTTATTTATGAGGAATGCTAATTAAATAATCAGGGACCATCTTATTAAACATGAGTCCTTCCTTTTCTCTGACACGGCTCAGTTCCTTTGAGGGCACACACATGCACATGCTGGCTGCCACCAGTTCTTTTGTGAGAGGTACAACTTTTCAACAAAAGCACTTTGAAACAGAGACACCCTGAGCAAAGGTATCTTGTACACTTCAACAGCTCCTTTCTCTTGTTTGGTTTGCATTTTTGTTTGTTTGATTTTAAACGGACTGGGCTGCTGAAAGACACTGGTAAGAATGTGTGAAAAAGAATAGAGGAAATGATGTGATCTCACAGGTCTGGATTTCCCCTGTTTTCCCTCTGTGCAGGTAACAGAGGTAAATGACACCAGCACTGCTGCCATGAAGGCAACAGCTGAACATTTCCCTTTCCACCTCCATCACCTCCTTAGGTTTTCTAACAGAAATTGTTCAACATTCTTTCTCTTTACTCCACATATTCTGACTGAATCTTACCTCTGCAAAGGTGCCTTTACAATTCTCTCCTTGCTTTGCACTTCTCTGTACAGACAAGATTAAATCCCTGACCCAACCTATGTGATGCTATTAGCAGCTCTCATGCACCATATTAAAATTATGCATTTAAAATTAGTGCCCCTCCTGCTGCCCCTCTGCTCTTTCCAGTCTTTTAAAAAAATTCTCGCTCATCCCTGCATTTTCAAATCCCCATGCATTGGGCTGGCTGGGGGTGGCTTCCATCAAGTCAAGTCAAGGGAAGAGACAGGAACAGACCTGATCAGCATAGTGGGAATGTAAGGATAAATCACTGCCCAGAAGTGAGGCAGAGGACACTGTATTGTCAAGTCCTGCAATTTGCCATTTTTGGGTCAGTCCTTTCTCTTTCCATGTGAACTTGTTATTGAGAATAAGTGTAAAATCTCCCCTTACATCACATTTTTAAGCTCATTTATGCTTTGCTTAAGGAGAGTCATTGCAAGATGAGGTATGGACAAACATTGTAAAGTGAAAAATTCAGTCCTAATGAAAAGGAAGGGGCACACAGATATGGCAGCAGGAAATTTAGGAGGTGGAGGAAAATGAAATCCCTGGGACATCCCTTTACAAGGCAATCCTACATATTTCACTACAAAAAAGCAAGTTGATACAATGTCAAGCAGATAGTTCTAACTGATAATGGTTAAAATTAAAATACAGCCCTGGAATAACAGATAATGGTGCAGCAGAGGAGCATTTTCATTCATTATGGATACTAAATGGTAAACAGTAGATGGTGCAAGAAGCAGGAAAGTCTAGAACAATTCCAGTTTGGCACAGCCTTTAAATAAGCATGTGGAATAGCTTCAGTCTCTCCTGCGGGCATGTAGTACCAGACAGAGTGTAGCCCTTGAGCATAATTTACTTCTAATTTCTTCAATTGAAAAAAGGAACCCAACGAAACAATTTCCTTTCTAACACAGCAACAAACATACCATTTATCCTGCTGAAAACTTACATTTTTGTGATTCACACACTTCATGAGGACCAGCTCCCTGTAAGCTCGCTTGGCATGAGTTTGGTTCTGAAATGGTCTGCTGAGCTTCTTAATGGCCACGTTCCTGTCAAGGACGGCATCATATGCAGCACTGCAGTGATGACAAACACAGGGGTTATGCATCTCAGAGGGTATCCAGTACTTCTCATGGCAAATTCCTGAACCTCAGGTCTACCATTTCCTTTTTTTCCACTGAGAAAAATACTGGGACAAAAGAAGGAAAGAGTTTCTAGTAAAAAAGAAGCAAGAGATCAAAAGGAAATGTGTAGCACCACATCAGCAGAAGACAGAACACGCCACTACTTCTGAACTCCAGTTCCACTGGAAATTAACGTTTATTTTCAAGGTGTGGGGGGGAAAATTAACTAACTTCAGATAAAAATACAATAAAAATCTGGATGAGAAAGAAGTTGTTTCATTGTGCATGGCTACAGCAGAAAAGGCTTTTGCTTTTTCTGTTGCAGTTAAGAGAAATTTGATGACGTGGCTCAACGACCAAGTGCCCATTGATCCAAAATGAAGTTTGTGTTTTCCTTATGATATTTTTAATGGAAACAATTTATTTAGTCATTCTTTGAGACCATAACATCCAATTCCAATGACATACCTAGAAACAGAACCATTTTACAAGGTTTTTTAACCGATTCCTGATAACAAAAAAATTGTTACATATGCACAGTTACAACTTTTGAAAAGGAAGAAATACATTTTTTACAAAGTGGATTTTTAAAGCTAGGGCCCTAAAATGCTCCTTAAACTTTTAAATGTTTTTCACAACCTTCAGCTACTTTTATAACTGTTACCTCCTCTGCATTTGAAGCAGTTATTTTGGTGGTTCAAATCTGACTACATAAATTCTGACTTCTAAATACCACAAAGCACACTAAGTTCTAGAAGCATTCCCAAGTGGACAGCATCCTCAGACTCTCTTCCTTATTTTTCCTTTTACCAAGAAAGAGGAAAGGCATGACATGAGTTTTCTGCTAGCTCATGAAAAGCAACAGTGTATTTCCCATGAGATAAATCAACCAAACCACTCATTGTTCTAAAAATTGTTTTCTTAAGCATAAAGTAAATATTCGGAATCTTGCAAATTTTTTTCTCTTTAACTCTTCCTTACTGCAGAGGCTAACTACCCAAGCTGAGCAGAAAGCATGCAAGCATCAGAAACTGAGCCACAAAGCCAACAAAAACGTACAGCTGTTCAAAATAGGTAAGAAAATGTTGGCAGTGTTTGTCTGGGAGACCACACAAGAAGAGAAGGATCAGAAATATTGAATCTGCATAAATAACACACCAAATGCATCCCACAAATAAGAACAACTGTTTGTTAAAGGTGATGAGTTTTGCAAAGATTACTTTTAGGACTCATTTAGGAAGTCTTCTGAGAGTGGTTCTAGGGAAATGATCTTTCCATGGCCACATCTGGAATTCTGGGTTGTACTCCAGGATCCCCAGTATGAGACAGATAAAGGCTGGAGCAGTTCCCCTGATGAGCCATGAAGATTTTTAGGGACTGGAACATCTCTCATACAGCTGAGTGAGCTGGAGCTGTTTAGCCTGGAGAAAGCTTAGGGAGGATTTTATCAATTTTCTTAAGTATCTGCTGGGAGGAGCAAAGAAGATGGAGGTAGACTCTTCCAGTGGTCCTGAGCAATCTGCTCTAGTTGACTCTGCTTTGAACAGGTGGGTTGGACCAGCTGTACTCCAACATCATCCATTCTGTCAGCTGGTAACAATTCTTTATCCTTTATTCTCCTATATGATTTCTCTCCAGCCACAGAATTTCACTCAACTAAACTGGTGTTAGGATGTGTGATTTACAGCCTGACAATATGTAGCAGAAAGCAAACCTCCTGTAGCAGCTGTCAGAATTGTGTCTCTCCTTCTGATGTAGTTCAGCCACAACAGGGCATCATAAAGGCCACAGGTAAACAGCTAAAACAGTAAAATATCCCTTAATTCCATTAAGAAAGCATTGAAGAAAAAAAATGTAAAACCCAAAGATTTAAAAAACCAGGATCTTTCAACAGTTCAATATTTTGTCCCTGTTGTTCATGGACATATACTGCAAATATACTTCAGCAGAACAAATCTCTCAGCTCATCCATATTGCTTGATCACCCAACTTCTTTTAGGATGAAAAGCCTATGTAAGACTAATCTGAGCTGGGTAAGAGTACTGTGAATCATTTTAATAATATTTTTTCATATATTATTCTCATTAGATACACCACAAAATTACTGACTGGGAGATAGAAAACAGCAAAAGTTTGTCTGGGCAAACATTTTCCTCAGCTTCTGATCTCTGTTTGCTTTTCTGAATTCTTTCTCTCTGTCAAAGCGACAAAACCCTCAATCTAAAACCAGAAAACCAAAGGCTTCTTAAACACTTGGCTTTTATGATCAATTCCTGATCCTTTGCATACCACAGAAGAACTAAAGTAATCTTTTCTAAAGGGATGTTTACTTTGAGACAAAAGGATTTTGACTGCAATTCTATCACGGTCTTGTACCAAATGCAAGGTGTCCAACTACTTGCAGAAGTCAGTAGGTAAATTCATTGCACCAGGTAAATCCACAGCCCTGATGATTTTTTTTCCATGTTCACCAGAAAGAAGCTTTTGTTTACAGCCAGCCAACTCTGCAGTGCACTACAATGAAATTACAGATACCAAATATAGGTCCTCTCTGCTGCTTGCTACACAGAATCCTTACCTTGGAACACCAAGGTTAGTACTGATGATGATAAGCCTTCTTATACAAACTTCCATCACTGGCAGGAGAGTGGCTGTATAAACACGTGGCTCCAGGGATCAGGAATGAGAGGGAGAGTAATGAGTGTCTGTGAACTGTGAGGAAAAGGCTGAGTATGAAAGTCACTCTAAATCTCAAATCAGACACTGGACTTGCATCTAAAAGAGTTTCTCTGGAAACTCTCTCATGACACCTCTTGCTCAACTGTGAATGTATTTTTTAATTTATACAGTTTCTTGATTTTATGGCAAATACTCTAAATTACCCCTGGTTTGTAACAGAATGATAGCTTTACTGCAACATGAGCTCAGAAAAACCTTCAAAGTTTACTACCATGTCTCTGGCAGCTGTACAGATAGCAAAGGCAGTAAATAAACTCTTTCCCTATAAATTCTCTTTACAGTTAGCTTGACATAGTAAATCTTAGTGCTAAAAATGCCTTTTAAAATTGTAAATAATTTGAAACAAACCTATTTAGCAGAGATAAAAAAGTTAGTGGATATAAATTCATGACTACCAAGAGACATATGTGATTACAGCTATTTAACAAGGCGTTTTGCTGATTTTGACAGAAAAAAAAAATGAAACTCCTCCTAGTCAGATTTACACAAACTCAGATCATCATTTACCATTAATATTCTGTGTGAGCTCAGACTGTAATGATCAATGAGCAATGATCTGTTTTCAGGTACTTAGAGGACCAGGCATTCATTTTTATACCTATTTTGAAAGGAAATGGAAAGTATTCTAGTTTCAAGTCCAAGTTTCTATTTCAATAGACACTTAACAAACGAATACTTAAAATTTTTCCTCCCATCTTTTCGTCAACAGGGAAACTTAACATTTATCAATTCCATTATAGTCTACCCCAGAACAGAATGTTAAACCCACAGAAAATGTGTAATTTTTGAAGTCAACTCTTAGGGATGGGTTCTTCGGATAATAAAGGACAACCTGAAAATCATATTTAACAAGAATACTAATGATGGCTCATCCTCAACCACCAATCACCACCAATATATGGAGCAGAACACATTTCTATAGAAATGCTCAGATACACATGTAAATGTAAATGCACAGATAGGTAAAAAGAAAAGCATAGATGGATGCATATATAAATCCTTTCCACAGAAATTTCCCTGTCTTCAAAGCCCTTGGTTTCAGATAACTAGCACTACTGCAGTTTCTGAAAGAGTCATTTATAGGAATGACAAGAGGCAAATCCTTCTCCTGTATCAAGTGAAATTTCTGTAAATGTGGTTTAGGAAGCTTTAACACAAAATGTTTCAAGTGCTTTACCTTCTCTCTACTTGTGGTCCCCTTTCAGCCAAGTACTCCAACAAAAAAGAGTGAAAATGTTATTTTGATTTAAGCAAACTTTTCTAAGTGTACTCTGGTGGGTTTTTTTGGTGGGTTTGGTTTGTTTGCTCCTTACATTGCCCTCATAAATCAGTCCAAAATTTAGAATGAAATTAGACTGTCTCATTCTTAACTTTTTTTCTCCTCTTGACATACGACTTATATGTAACTTCTGAGTTTCTAAAGGCAGACATTCGTACAAGCAGTGCATATTTTGCTCTTCAATAATTACTTTTAAACAGAAAAAAGTTATTAGAGTGAAAACTCCTCTACAGAAAGTATATTTAAATATAGTGAATGTTTTCCATTGAATTAGTAGAAAAAGAAAATTCTATACATGCACCAGGGTGCAGAAAGTTTTCCCCAAGCAGCACATGTCAAAGGCCACTATAACAAAAAGTCTTTAAATGTCCTTATTAGGTTTGGAAACAACCCTTTGTGCTGAAAATCCAAAAAAAAAATCCAGTATGCCCGTACTGAAGAGTTGCAGATGTGTTGTCAGGAATGGCTGCTATACTCTCTGGATCAGCTCTATTCCCTCTGAAAATGCAGAGAAATTGAGACAATATTCAGAATTGATGCTAAAGAAGACCAAAAGAGCTTCATAATGGATGACTGCTGCACTTTTCTTGTTGCCAGTTATGGCTCCAGCTTGTTTTTCTGTATCCTTCCATCAGCTCACAGCTTCTTGCAAGCCAGTGGAAACAGATTAGAAAATATAACCAAGCTGCCTCTCCAGCAGCAACACAAGCCATCATTTTTTTACTATCATCAGATTCCAGTCTCACAGAATAAATAAATCAGTTGCCAAGACTTTCCATTAAGTTCCTCATCATTGCAGAGATTACTGATTGTGCTCAAAATGTTCCTTCCTGCATTGCACAGAAACGTGATCCATTTTGTTGGATCTATGTGATGGAATGAAGTAACATGAGAGAGGACTGAAGCTGAATTGTTTGGGATTATCATCCCAGTC